CTCTTTGAGTTCATCTTGTGTGGAACTCTCTGTGCTTTCTGAACCTGAATGTCTGTTTCTTTCCCCAGATAAGGAAGTTTTCAGCTATTATTTCTTCATACAAGTTTTCTGCCCATTTCTCTCTCCCTTCTGGAACCTCCATAATGTGAATGAATGTTTGCTTGATGTTGTGCAAAAGATCCCTTAACCTAGTCTCATTTTTTAAATTCTTTATTTCTTTTTGCTGTTCTGCTTGGGCTTTCCATTACTCTGTCTTCCAGATCATGGATTTATTTTTCTGCATCCTCTAATCTGTTGATTCCATCTCGTATATATTTTTTTCATTTTTTGTTGTATTGTTCAATACTTTTTAAATATTTTCTATCTCTCTGTTGAAGTTCTCACTGAGTTTGTCTACTCTTCTCTTCAGTCCAATGAGCATCTTTATGACCATTACTTTGAACCCTTTATTAGGTAGATTACTTACCCCCATTTGATTTAGTTCTTTTATTCTGAGGTGTTGTCTTATTCTTTCATTTGGAGCATATTTCTGTCTCCTCATTTTACTTGATTTTCTGTATTTTTTTCTGTAAATTAGGTGGGACAGGTCCTTCTCCTAAACTTGAAGAAATGGTCTTGTGTATGGTCATCCTCTTTGTAGACTGGGTGTGCCTGGTAACTTTGGCTAGCTAGCACAGGAGGGCTGTGTGGAGAGGTCCCTGGGCACCTTGTGCAGGGGCTGCCTTGGCAGGATGGCTGAAGCTGAAGTGGGCATGGGCCAGGGTATTCCCAGCCCTCTCTCTACAGAAATGCCCTGGCAAGTCATCCAAAGCCAAGGTAAACATGGGTGATCCCTGGGCACTCTGCTCCAAGGATGCCCTGACAAGTCATCTGGAGCCAAAGTGGTCCAGGCCTGGAGTGTTCCAGGGTGCTTTTCACCCATGTCATTTTGGCAAGATGGCTGGAGCTATAGTGAGTACTGCCAGAAGTGTTCACCATCCTGAGGCTGCCTTGGTGGGTCTGCTGGTAGGTCTCACTGAGGCAGGATACCAGCTATGGCACCTGGACTCTGCTCCTCTCTGAATTATCATGGTGAAGGGGAATGTAAGCCATGGCATTTGCCAGACCCTCTGACCTAGAAATAGTTCCAGCTGTTTGGAATGTTTGGCAGGGTTCTAGGACCTGGTTTCTCTATACTTTAGTTGCTCTTTTAAACCATAGTGGTTTTTTTTTTTAATGTCCTGTGGAAGAATAATCTGTTCACAATATCTCCATATTGTCCCTCCCCTCTGCAATTTGCAGTTACCATGTCTCCATCTCTCTTATTCTCTGTGGGGTCTCTCAGTCTTTTGTTACACAGGAGCTGTTCAGTAAGTCCTCAGTTCTTCTTCAGGAGGAATTGCTCCATAAATAGGTATAGATTTGGTTTGTGGAGGAGGTGAGTTCAGGGTCTTCTACACTGTCATTTTGGACCCTCCCTAATCATAATTTTTATCTTGATTTTTTTAATGTGTCATATCACCTTGCTTGATTTGTGGATGTTGAACCATCCTTGCATGTCAGGAATGAATCCACTTGATCATGGTGTATTTTTTAATTTGATTTGCTAATATTTTGTTGAGGATTTTTGCATCTATGTTTATCAGGGATATTGGCCTGTCTTATTCTTCTTTTTTGGGGGGGGAGGAGGCTTGTTTTTATCTGGTTTTCATATAGGGTAATGCTGGCCTTTTAAAATAAGTTTGGAAGGGTTCCTTCCTTCTTTGTTTTTTGGAAGAGTTTGAGAAGGATTGGTATTAATTATTCTTTAAATGTTTGGTAGAATTTACGAGTGAATCCATTTGGTCATAGACTTTTGTATGTTAGGAGGTTTCTAGTTACCAATTCAGTCTCTCCACTGTTTAGTCTGTTCAGATTTTATCTTTCTTCAGGGTTTAGTCTTAGTAGGTTGTGTATGCTTCTAGGAATTATCCATTTCTACGTTGTCCATTTTGTTGATGTATAAGTGTTTATAGTAACCTGTTATAATCCTTTGTATTTTTATGGTTTCAGGTGTAATGTCTCCTCTTTCATTTCTAATTTCAGTTTTTTTTTTTATTTTCATGAGTTTAATTGTCAACTTTGTCTTTATAGTCCCCATTTCATTTAAGTAATTTCTGAACTCAATTTCATTCCTTATATTAATTTTGAGCTTTTTTCTTCTTCTAGTTACTTGAGGTATAAAGTTAGGTTGAGATTTTTCTTGTTTCTTCATGTAGGCATTTATCACTATGAACTTTCCTCTCAGAACTGCTTTTGCTGCATCTTAAACAAGTATTGGTATGTTGTATTTCCATTTTTATTTGTCTCAAAGTATTTGTTTTAATTTCTTCTTTGACCCATTCATTGGTTATTTGGTAGCAGTTCAATTTCTACATATTTGTGAATTATCTAGTTTTCTTTTTGTAATTGATTTCTAGTTCCATACCACTGTTGTTGAAAAGATGCTGATAGGTTTTTAATCTTCCTAGATTTGTTTTGTGACTTAACATATCATTTATCCTGGAGCATGTTTCATGTGCACTTAAGAAGAATTTGTATTCCATTGCTTTTGGATGAAATGTTCTGTATACATCCGTTAAGCTAAAAACTTATAGATTAATATTCAACTGTTCATTTGTTACCTTCTGGCCACCAAATATAATGACCTTTTCTCAATTATTGAATTTTTTTAGAACATTTGACACTATTCTTGAATATTCCTCTTATATAAAACTACTGTAAAACTGAACTAACCTGTTTTCTTCCTCAGATTTCTCTTCTTTTCATACAATGTACATAATGGATCTTCCCATTCTCCATTTTCTTTCTATACTCTTTTATAATTGCTGCTATAGGGTAAATGAAAATATTCCTTCAAACTACAGTTTCAAATTTGCCATTACCTGCTGGACACACTATTGCAAAATATGTGTGAACTTCCAACTTAGCCTCCTAAAAATAAATTTTTATCATCTATTCCACTACCAAATTCTAAAGCAAAAGCTCCTGTGTAGATTTTCACATATTGTCAATGATATTGTCATTCCCCTAGTTATCCACGCTTGAAATCTTAGTTAATCTTCAATTATACAAACATTTCACTATGAAAGTATTCTAACTCAATTGCTAAATTAGTATTCCAACTCTAATCTATCATAAGGTTATCTTGATTTCATTTTCTTTCTGCTTTATCAGAAAATTCTTTTTTTTTTTTTTTCACCTTAACTTGGACTGTTGACTAGGCTCCTAAATGATCTCTCAAACTCTAGTTTTTCCCTTTACCAGTCTCTCCAAAACATCTTATCATTCCTTCCTATTGCTTGGGGGAAAAAATTAGAAGAAAAATAAATGCTCTTTACTGTCTCAAAAACAAAGGCTGAAAATCCTAACCTGGCTTAATATTTTGTTTTTTTTTTAAGATTTTATTTATTTATTTGAGAGAGAGAGTGAGTGCATATGCACAAGCTGGGGGGAGGGAAGGAGGAAAAGGGACAAGTAGACTTCCTGCTGAGCAGGGAGCCCCAAGCAGAGCTCCATCTCAAGACCCTGAGATCATTACCTGAGCTGAAGGCAGATGCTTAACTGACTGAGCCACCCAGGTCCCCCTAACCTGGCTTTATTGCTCTACCTTTTCTCTTATCCTTATCTACACTTTTTTCTCTAATCTATATCTTCTGTTGTTATGCATATACTCCCAAGTTCTTACCAGGATAAATTAATCCCTATTTTCTGAATGTTATCTGCCATCCCCTACCTTACACCTTTGTGAGCTTTTCGTGCAGAAATAGCACAGAGTAGGATGAGATTTTTTTTTTTAAAGATTTTATTTATTTATTTGAGACAGAGAGAATGAGAGAGAGAGAGAGCACATGAGAGGGGGGAGGGTCAGAGGGAGAAGCAGGCTCCCTGCCGAGCAGGGAGCCCGATGCGGACTCGATCCAGGGACTCCAGGATCATGACCTGAGCCGAAGGCAGTCGCTTAACCAACTGAGCCACCCAGGCGCCCGAGTAGGATGAAATTTAACCATTTCTTTGTCTATGTCAGCCACCTCAAAAATATAAAACTCAAGTGAAAACAGGGAACAGGTATTGAAAATATAACTTGAAGACAAGGGGTCTATCTTTAAAGCTCCTGATAACCAATTATTGCTCCTAAGTCTGTCCCACATGAAAATATGGAAGCAACCAATCTTTTGAAACCTTCCTACCTATTAGGTATGAGCTCAAATTCTAACTCATCCATTCCATTTTCTTTTATTTTTTAAATGGGAAGAATTCCTCCTAATACTTCTTTAGTTTTTTCTTTGTCTAATGAGCAATTATATGGCTTTATGTATCTCCCCTACTCCAACTTATTCATAAACATGATGAAGAGATGGTTTATAATATTCATTTCTATATACACCATATCACCCAGGATAGGTATTCAAATATTTGAACTATTAGTGTTTGCTAAACTAACTGCTTAAATACAGCCAGATTCTTTCCCCTTTTAGTTGGGTCCCTTTTATGTGGATTTTGTTCTGATATCATAAGTTACTATATATTAGTGACAACAGAGGCACCTGTTATTTGGCTTATTCTCTACTGACCAACTTTTGCTTTAAAATTATTCTCTACTTCCTTCACTATATACTGTCTTTGTGGAGAAATATATGTACATACATACATATCATATGCACACACTTGAATAAGCATATGTATCTCTATATACACCTAAGTTATGACTGCTAGGACTTCTTCAGATGATAAAGTTCTTTAAATCTGTGACAGTGACTTACATGTTTAACATTTTATGTCTTGTCCTACCTTGCTCAATTCCAGACACAGATACATAGTCAGTGCTTAATAAATGTTCATTGCCTGAAATTTTAGTATTTTTATAAACCCAAAATATGGAACACTGATTATAGTCTTGTATATTTGCATATGAAATCAGCAGTTTTTAATATCTTCATATGAGAGCTAAACGTGGGACTGCTTTTCATGTCTCAAATGTATCTCCAAGTCACATATACAACAAGAAAAAAATACTTACCATTTTTGGGGGAGGGGAGATTTTTTCCCTCAAAAATCAAACTGAGAGATCTGCAGAATGCCATGTACAGTTATGAATTTGGAGTTATCCTGAAGCTGGCAAACATCTGCATTTTCCACATCTGGGGCAGCATCTGTTCTGTTGTTAGAAGAAAATGAGAAAATTGGGGTAAACATCAGAGCATAATATCAAATTCTACAAATCTAGCAAATGTATTTGTTTCTTGTTGATCAAGTGGCCAAGAAGTGGTGTGACACCCATACTAAGATGCTTGATAATTACATTTCTTAACTCCCTTTAGAAAATGCCATACTCCAAGCCTGGGAATAACAAGCTTTTGCATAACAGCACAGGGCCTATAAATAAGAAACTCATTAAGCTACCTGTAGCAGGCCTCTACCCCAGCCCTGCACTGGCTTGGGGAGCTTAATGAGGTGATAATGAGGAGAAAATGGTTTAGCTCCTTTTTTGGCCTGGTTTGCGATGGGTAGGGAAATATCAGTCTTCAGTGAAACAGCCACCATAGAGCCCAATTCATCATTCAGGGTGGGTCTATACCAGAGAAATAATTTGCTTCTAGGCCCTGTAGTTATTTGGCTCCCCTGTCTATGGAAACAAAGCAAGCTATTCATTCACATTTGAAGGGACTGTCCGAATAACACCAATAAAGGGTGTTAAACTAGCTGATCATTAGCATTTGAAGGGAATGGCCAAATAACACCAACAAAGGGTGTTAAACCAATCCACATTGTAGGTGGGGGGGTGGGGGTGGGAGCACTGTGCAATTCTAAGTGGATTAATGCCAGCATTATTTTCTCACTATGAGCCCAGCCTTCTCTCTAAGATTTCATATTCATTCATCGCTGGACCAAACCTTCTTGGCTATGCTCTCCCCTTCTTTTTCCCTATAAAGAAACTAAAGCAGTGAGCTGGGATTAAGAATATAACATTTAGCATGTTAAAGACAAGACTGAGATCAGATCACCAAACTGTTGGGCATCCAAGCCACAATGCCAAATTCAGTAGGATATTCTATGGCAGTCCCCAAGAGGGGTCCACGAAGAATAGACCAGTGATCAGTTTCATTTGATTTAAGCTTTTCTCAGGCTAAAGGCTGCTGCTGCTAACCCTCAAAGTAAGGGAAAAACCAAAAGAGAAAAGTGGAGTTAGACTCTCGAGAGGAAAATACCAATGATCGCTCAGTCCAAAGTTCCAACCAAATCAGAAATTCTCTATAATGTCCCTTAGGCAAGGCCATTCTAGTCAAGGATCCATACTGTGGATGTCACTACTATTCTGCCAGGAATTTTACTTATATTATTTATTCTTAAAATATTTTGTGCTGTGCACAAGAAACAGCTCATCCTCCCCTACACAGTTAAGAGTTAGAGCCAAATTCATACCCAGAGAATATAATTTTCTATAACAAAACACAACTGAGACACAGAGAATGTACAGACTTCAGCTGATTGTGGAGAGTGATAATTTAGCAATAATTTCCAAGTAGAGGATTTCAAGTAAATCATGGCCTATTGGACATACGAATTTATCTTTACCCTTCACCAAATCAACAACAGGATAAAAAAAATATATTGCAAGCTTACAAGGACAAAGATAATGGGGGAGATAAAGACAGACATTAAGAAAGATGTCCCTTAGATAATAAAGAAAAAAAAAGTTGAATTCTTACTATCTACAAGAGATGAGGGAAGTAAGGGAAGGTCACTAAGAAGCAAGTCAAGTCATGTTGCAGGAAGGAGTTGGCAGGAGCAAAAATGAGTTCTGAGCCGGGATGCAGGATGAGGCTGAAACAAATAGACTGGCTGAACATCTATTCAGCCCTTGAACATTCCACCCCACCTGCCCCAATCGCCAGGCTAAGCAAATATTCCCTCCCACACCTTTCTTATCCCTATACCAATTTGCAGGCTATTGGTTAGATTGACAACTTCTGCCATCATTTTAAAATTCAACAGACCCAAAAAACTTCATTTCCCTCTTTTCTTTTTCCTTTCTTTTTCTTTTCTTTTCTTTTCTTTTCTTTTCTTTCTTTCTTTCTTTTTTTTTTTTTTTTTTGTCATTTCCCTCTTAAAACTAATCTCTCCTTTGAGCTTCCTCATTTTGGTGAATTTTGCCATTTCTTCTATTAGGCTGTTGTATTTGCCGTGGTTGTTTTGACATTCTGGTATTCCTGTTGATTACATATTCTTCCAGTTTGTGGTTTGTCTTTTCATCTGCATATATTTTAACAAATATAAAATTGTATTTAAGATTTATTCTTGTTTAGTTAGCATTTGTATGTTCATGTAGGTGTGTGTGTATATGTCTCGCCTAAGAAAATCTTTTCAATTCTGAGTTTCTAAATATAGTCTCCAAAAAGGTAGTCTAAAAGTGTAAGGTTTTGACTGTGACATTTAATTAGATCTGTTTGGATTTTGTTTTCTTGTATTTTTTGATGTAAGGCTCTACATTGATACTTCTACCTGGATTCCCCACTGTCACAGTGCCATTTAATACAGAGTTCCTCATCTTCCCCACAATCTATGATGCCATCTTTCTCCTATATCATTTCCATAGATGCATGTGTCTGCTTACAGTTGTTCCTTTATGTTCATCTGTCTATGACTATACTAGTACCATACTGCCCTAATGGCCATAGTTTTATGATGAATTTTATATCTGGTAGAGTAAGTTTCCATCCTCTTCATCAGGGGAGTTAGGGACTGAAAAGGTGTGTTTCCTCAATTGTTGGTAGAATTTTCCAGTAAAAACATCTGGTCCTGATTTTGAAATACTTTAATACAGAATACACGATTTTTCAGTCTTTATATTTTTCCAATTTTCAAATTTATATTGTCATTAATATATTCACAATTTCTTAGTTGCATTTAAATTTGGACTGTTATACAAATATTTCCCATTTCCTAATATTGTTTATGTATAATCTCCATTTTTTTAATCAATTTTATGGGGTTCTCTTCAAAGAATCACTTCTTTGTAGATACTCTCTTTTGCATTTTTGTTTTTTCATTTATAACTTTTATTTCTAGTCTTCTATTGCTTTAGGTCTATACTATATTTAAGTTCATTGTTCTTTTCTTGATTTCTTATTTGATGCTTAGGTTGTTATTCATCAGCAATTATTTTTAATATAATAGTTTAAGATTGTAAATATCCTTCAGATGATCATTTTTGCTGCATTTTATAAATTTTGCAGAGTATTTAAATTACATTTGGTTTTAAGTTTTTTGTCTCCAAATTATTTTCTTCTTAAATCATGATATTTTGAAGTATAAATATATTTTTTTAGTTTTTAAAGTATGTTTTTAAAATGTATGTTTTTGTTATATTTTATGAAATTGGATTGCCATAAAAAAGCAAGGGCCTAGAGCATAGTGTCCTCATCCCAGAATTAGTGTTAGCATTTACCCCAGGATAGCATTTACTTTCCTATTTGCTTATGTCTTGCACTTACTCTACTTTCAGCTCCCCGTGCCTTTGTATTTACTCATTCTAAGAAATTTTTGCTTTCTCTCTTATGATTTCACCAATGCATTAAAGCATAATTGTCCTAGTGTATCCAAGACCTAGTTGGTTTCTAGTAGGAAGGCCTTTCATAGTATCTCCCTTAATATCTAGTAAACTCTAAGAATCTTCTCCAACTACATCTTGGAAATTTCTATTCACAAAGTCAAACGAAAATACAAGGCATTCAAAAGTTTAAAATGCTGTCCAATATTTTTACCTATTCACACTATTCAACCCTTTCTGTTCTCCAACTGCATGCTAAGGAAAAACAAAATGATGCCAAGCACTAGTCTAAAGAGATTTACTTTAGCTACGTTTGCTTAATTTCAGGCTCACACCATCTCTGGTGTGGATAATTATGTGTATTGATTGAAAAGATCTTCTTTTCTAGTTCTTAGTAAAAGACAAATAAATAGAATAGATGGGGTTGTCAAATTTTCCTGGCTATATGAAGAGGTGATTGGAATAGATGAGCTCTAAGATGCCTTTCAGCTCTAAGAAAATATGCCTGTGTCTAAAAACAATAAAATAGTATTTCCCATTAATTACCTGCCAGTGAATAATTGAGTGTTAAGTAAACATTGCATTTTTCCTCTGTTAATGGAGTAGCACCTTCTGAAGTATCTTTTTTCACCCTTTACTCCTTACAACAATCTAATGCCCTCAAGTCACTAATAATTGTTGCTGTTTTTACCTGTCATTTATGGAATGAGATTTAATGCAGTCTTTGTGAGTAAATGCAGGGGAATAATACATCCCTGAAATCAAAGTTCAAGAATGTACTCTTGGAACAGGACTCCAGGGACAGAGCAAACAACTTGTCTTACGGCCTGTAACCAGACAGTTCAGAAAGAACAGGTTTATTGAATTGAAGCAAATTTGACCCAGTGATATTTATGAAGTCAGAAACCAGGAAGAGGAAACTGAGTTTGTAAGGTTAAGAAAATATATGGAGTGGCCTTGAGAATAATGGTCATGGTCTGTGGAAGCACGTACAGAAGGAGTACTTTTGAAAAATACAGGTGGCATATATATACAAACACTCACACAAACATGAACTCACATGTATATTCACACATACACATGCACATAAATATACAATTTTAAGAATATAGCATTATCTTTTTATAAAAGTCCTGAAAAAATGATTTTCTTTTTGCTCAGAATAATTTAAATTTAACTGAAGTAATAAAATACAGGAGTCCTTAATGGCCTTTGCAGGGTCTTAAATATATTCAAACACTTACAAATAAGATTTTAGAAAATAAAACTTGAAAATGTTCATTTCTGAGATCAGATTCATAGGAAATCTGTACATGTAACCACTATTGGCTTTAATTGTTATATAATAATGTAATATAAAAATAATTATTACTATGTATAATTGGGATAATTATATAGGCAATAATTTCACTTCATAAAAGTTAGTAAAAGGATTCAAGATTAATGGACTTGTATGAATTGCACTACTGTAAGGTACCACATTTAATATATATTTTTCAACTTGAAAGGTTGACAGTTAAAATATATGTGGAGAAGTGAATAAGTAGCATACAGATATTCTTATTAAATTAGATAACTCAATAAATCAAAAGCAATCTCCCTCTCCC